TATCATAGCCAGTCTTCTTTAATAGTTTGTGTGTCCTCTCCCATGAAATTGGATTGTGAGCTCCTTTGGAGCAAGAACCTATTTTATCTGTCTTGGTCTATTACTATATAACCTGATCTATACAAAGCAGAAATGTTTGGTGAAATAGAAGTGGAATTAAATATAGTCTCACATGCCTGCTGTCCTCAGGAGGTAGAGCTGATGTAATCTGAATTTTGGTGTCAATGATATATAAGATGGAGGTAATAATGATAGCTCTTAGATTTGTTTTATTAAATAATGTTATATATATATAACATTTATATATATATAAGGTCTTAGCAGAGCATCAGATACTTAGTAGGTGTTCAATAGATGTTGACCATTAACCCTTTGGTTGGGATAGTTCTTGTGGGCTTATATTCATCTCACAGTCCAAAGTCACTAGCATTGTTATCAATAGAATCATTAATTTCTATTTTATCATAAAGCTATAAATACAATTTTCTGTGCAAGAAGGTATCTTCCCCCAGTCCCTAATAGTAAAGATAAGGAAATAGTAATAGATATGCTAAGGAAATAGTTAAGATATGGAAACTGAGGCTCTGTGAAATGAAGTGACTCTCCAACACCTCACTCATGGTGAAGAGCAGAGCCCCAGGCGTAAATGTTCTCTGTTCACTGTAGTAATGAATTACTCCTCAAAATTATTAGTTAAGTGGAGATGAAAATTGCCTGGAAGACTGTGAAATCTGTTTTAACAGTGTCTGGTTTTGATATTAAGTCAAAATACATATAAATTAGGCATTTTCTGTGCATGCCAACCAACTCAACTTATCATGGTTGAGTTGCTGTTAGAATTGGTGGTCTTTAAGCTGCACTACTAATCCATCCAGTAAACATTAGACTTAAAGGGACTTTAGAGCACCTCTAATTAAATGTGCATATGCTGTGCTAAAATGATTAAGGAAAATGAGGGCCAGAATAGTTATGTGACTTGGCCAGGACCAAACATATTAAGCCATTTCATTTGTAAGGATGGTTACAATAGTTGAGAGTTACTTCAGATTGCTGGCTCTTTTGGCCGGGGTTGAACCTGATATGATCTTGGGAGAGACCTGATCATTGGGTCAGGAGACAGAAGACCTACCTTCTAGGCCATGTTGTTTTTAATTTCTTAGTCTCAATTTCCTCATCTATATAATGGACCTAAAAATATGCTGCTTCTACCTCATCAAATGGAAAGATAAATTAAATAGTGTGTAAAATGTAAAAGAAGAAACTATTTTCTTATTGCTATTATTTTGCATAAATTGAGAATTGAACTTGCTGTTAAGCTAAACTCAACTTTCTATGGGAACTTAGTGTTACTGTGTCCATTTTATCAACACGAAGTAGGTCAGAGATAGAAAACAAGTAACACTATGAGCTGATGGTTAGAATCTCTTGTTGGGATTTTTTTGGATGGTAATAGATATGTTGGTTTGACTATATGAGTCAGACGATGTTCTCCAGTGACTTGTAACTGGATCCATGCAAGTTCGCAAAGTTTTCTTTAACTTCCTTAGTTATATATAACTTTATCATTTATGTTCCTGATTTGCTAAAATTTCCCTTGTTCAAATGCTGTCCACAAGAGACATCTGACAGCCAAGAAGTCTTTCTAGGTCATTCAAATGAGTTCCTAACGGTTAGTTTTTTGAAGGCAGGAAGTCACAAATTGCCAAGAAAAAAAAAAACTTGAAAACACAGAGGTGTTTTCTGATATTCAAGGGACTGGTTGTATTTCTGAATGGATGGCCCCATTTGATTGAAATAACCTGTTCTGCATTTCTTATATTAATGACATAGTTAACTGGATTATGCATTCTGATTAATAGCTAAAATAAATGATCTGGTTAACCTAAATATTTTATCTAACTATGATTTAGAAACGCATTTTACAAAGGATTCAATTTTATTTTTACCTAAGGTGTTGATCTTAACCCTATTTTAAGGATATTATAAGGTAGCTTAATTTATGTTATTGAAAATGTGAGCTGGTGCCTGTATTCTTTATGTAGAAGTCACTGGGACTCTATTTTGTGAGGGAGTGAGAATCCAGGAGCAGAGAGTACTTCCAGGGGAACAAATAACTGTGTCTGAAAATCCTCTTCATGGACAAATGCTGCCTATATCTCTACATCTTGTACGCTTCTTTTCTAGTAAGCATGAGTTCGCCAGGACTGTTCCAGTCCTCTCAGATCCCTCTCTTTGCTGGATTCCTGTGAGACATGCAAAGGCAATATGTAATGGTGTGGGAAACTGTGTGGTAGCATTTGTCTTGGTCTCTATTTGTGAATGCACTCAGCTTCCATTTGTATTGTAAATTCCTTTAGGTGGAGCCTCGCTCTGTACTTCGGTATTTCTCAGCATCTAGCACAGTGCTGGGCACATAGTAAGCACCCAATAAACACATAATTAATCAGCACTAACTGGGAAACTTCTCAAGGTCTGGGATTCTGTTTCAAATTATCTACAATGGTACCTCATATAGGGCCACATGCTGACAGGTGCTTATTGATTGATTTGATTGAAACTATAAACAGAATACCCACTGATTTCTTTAACTTCTATGATAACGTGAATCTGAACCCCCAGTCTTTTTCCTCATTTAACTTGTCTTGCCCAAGCAGTTTTAATTTGATGCTTCTAATTGAGGTTACCTGGGTTATCACTGAAAGTTTCATTAGGAAGTATGCATCGACACTCTTCAAGTCCTTAGAGGTGGAAGAGATTATAAAAGTTTTCAGCTCAATCCTTCTAAATGCATGATAAGGAAATAGGTCCATTATAGTTAAGTGACCTGTCCAAGTGATTCATTATTAAATGGACTAATAGTCCATTTAACGTCACACTTTGAGCTCCCATTTTATTTCAGATGACACGGTGAGTTAAGAGTAGAGTCTCTGGTTTCCTAATTCTCCAGCCATAGTCACCATTCTAATCCCAACCCAGTTTGGCCACCATTAAAAAGTTATCACTTAGCATAGTGATATCTTTCCCTCCCCTCCCTCTTCCTAAACACTCATTGGAGAAATCATATGTCCCAAATTTCCAACTTTTTCACAACTATGGCACATTATGGTAAGTGGATTTCACATCACTTTGCTCCCAAAGGTAGGACAAGACTATTTTTTTAAAACTCTTGCTTTGAGAAGTTTTCAGAAAGTTCACAATACTTGTGATAAGTGAGGAGCTCTTGGCATATCACAGAAACAATGGGATTTGGGAATCATGCCTCAGGGGATCAGAATTACTGTGTTTGGCAGAGTATGTGATGGTGATATAATGGCCCCTGCAGCAGAAAGGCGTATAGAATCAGGCCAGGATGGAGATTTGTCACTCAGAAGCATCAGCTCTCATCTTAGATAAGCAGCTCCACTTTCCTGTGCTTGAAGGAGACCAGAGTTAGTCCCTGTTTAGCTCCAAGTCCAAATTTACATGGTTAGACATGTAAAACCTACATGTCTACATATATGTGTGTGTGTGTGTGTGTGTGTGTGTGTGTGTGAAGATGGTGACTGGACTAGTGATTGTGGATAAACTAGATTTGGGGCAGAGACTTGCCTGTCATTTCGGAGCTTGGTTCAGTTCTGCAGTACCCTGAATATCTTCAGAGTGAAGGGTGGGGAACTGGGGAGGAGAGAAATGTCACTGTGATCCCTGTGGGCACTGGCAGCGTTGTGGAAGACTTGCCGGCAATGCTGCCTGGGTTTGAGAGAGGAACACATCAGGGCTAGAAGGAAGGAAAGGGAAGGTCTTGTGGGATGGGTTTTCACAGGCCTAGAAACCGGCTGCAGTTAAGTGAGCATGGCAGCAATACATATTCGTCGATGTATTTATTTAACAGGGGAAGCAATCAGAATCCTAGATGTCAGGGGAGGGTTGCAGAAATAGGTTCTCAGGCTTAGCTTGCAGTGTCATTTGACCTAAGGAGATTGTATCAGCTAATCTGAGTTTGGAAAATCTTAGGAGATAAGATTCTTGGCATTGGGCCTCTAAGAGTAAAAAGCTTTAAAAATTACAGTAAATTCCCTGGTAAATCTGACTCCAGCCTTCTCTATCACTCTGCATGCGCCTCCCCCCCAAAACCCCTTCATGAGTACAGAAGACACAGGAAGAAAGGACCATCTGGCACAGCACGCCAGCTTTTTATTTGGTTGCTCTCAATCCTACCTTCCTGTTTGGATCACCCCTCCCCTCTGCTCATACTTCAGAAACCAATCAAGGTGTCTCCTGAACTCATTTATTCCCTTTGTTTCAACCGCCTTCTTGGGTAACTTTTTCCATATGCTTACATCCTTGCCTTACAACAGACATTTTTTTTTTCTTTTTTTCATCCAAAATGGTCTGATTGGACTCTTAGGAAAAGCCATTTACTCAAATACATGACAAAGTGCTTCTAAAGATCCCAAACAACTTTTCATTACTTTTGATGACCAAGATATATAAATAGAGGAAAAATTGCTTTGTTTAAAAATTACTGGCTGATGGGCAATGATGCTGAGTAGTAGGACATTAAAGAATATATTATTATTAGCATTGAACCCCCCCAACACCCAGCCCCCAGTGAAATTGTCTAGATTTGGAGCTGTGGTCTGTAATTATTATTATTTTTAAAAATTTGGCACTTACTTTATTGTTCCTGTTTGGCTTCTTCCCTTCACCGTGGTGACATTAGTACTCCTAATATTGCCTGTTGTGGACCAGTTTTCTTCAGCTGTTGCTAAAATGCCAGATGTCATGTTGGAAATGCAAAACCTGAAAGATGGTCGTAAATCACAAAAACAAACCATAAAAAAAAAATAATAAAATACCCTGAATGCTGTGCTCTGGAGCTTCCCAGCTTTAAGTCTCCTTTTGTTCACCACTCTCCCTACTCCACCATGCCCCTCACCCAGCCTCCCATCTTTTAGGGCAGTGAGGGGTGGGGGCAGTTCAGCAGTTTCTCACCTAAGACTTGATTGTTTATTTTGCAGATTCTGAGCAAAGCACGGGTTCAGACTCTGAGGTGCTCACTGAGCGGACTTCCTGCTCCTTTGACACTCACGCTGACCTGGGCCCTGGTGCTGCAGGCCCTGTGCCTGCTGCCATGTCTTCCATGGAAGAGATTCAGGTAGAGCTGCAATGTGCTGACCTCTGGAAGAGGTTCCATGACATTGGAACTGAGATGATCATCACCAAAGCAGGCAGGTAAGGACAGGTTCCTTTGAATGGCCAGATTCCAAGAATGGAGAACAAAAGTAGGAGCTATTACATACATTTTTTTCACTTACTTGTGGTAGGTAGCATTGGTTATGCCAAAGCAGCCTGTGTTCACAAAAGCATGAGGTCAAAATGAACCTGAAATCTTATTCATTTTATTTCTCCTTTGGAACCTTCTTCCTTCTCGAAGTTTTGGTGGTGAATAAGATCATTAAAAGGCTTCTTAGGAGGAGCAACTCTGAAGGGGAATTATTTCCAATACCATCTCTTTTTTGTTGCTTGGGTTTCAGTCGACTTCTGTTCTACATTTTGAGATGTCATGGCTTAGAAGGAAACAGCAATTCAAGGAAAATGTTTTTATCCAGTTTCTTATTTTGGGTTTTCACTCAGTACTGTGGATTTTGTGCATTCCGGTCATTTTCATCTCCGATATCATTCCGTCGTTCCCTGCACTTCAGTGAATTCAGTTCACCCAAACACCTTTTTCACAGCTCTCCTGTGACCTCATTTCATGATTTGTTCTGCAGTGTTTTAATTTCCACATCTCTGCCTTCACAAATTCATTTGATACCTGGATATACCCAGATATTCCCAGTACAAACATATACAGTTTGTTCTTTAGTCATATCCCTTTGTTTAGGTTAAGATCCATTATTCATTGTTTCTTTATTGGATTGCCTCAGCCTTTGCTGTTGTTCCATGTAACTCTTCAAGTAATTCTGGAACAACTCAAAAACATACAAAGAAAGCTTTCTCTGCTCTGACTTTTCTTCACCTCCTCCCGATTCCCCAAGTCTGTTTCTTCCTTTTCACTTCATTTTCCTTCCTTTGTAGTGTCCTTTCCAATTTTAACCTCAATTTTCATTTTCTCAGTTACATTAGTTTTGTATGACTCTCTGTTCCTTTTTCCTGCTCAGATTTTAGTCACCATCTACTTCTTCTCCCTCCCCAAACTGTAATCCTGTTGATTCAGAACTACTGCAGTCTGCAGAGCCCTCAATCTTTGAATGTACAAACTATCTGTAGAATCAGCACCATGGACAGAGGTACTTGTAGGGATTAATGGGTTTGGAAGACACAAGAATTGGCCTAAATTTAACCATAAAATTAAAACCAAACGCATCTCACTTTGTGAATATGAAAGATTAATTTTTCCCTAGGGTGTTATGACTTCACTTGATATTCTGTGCTAAAATACTGGCAAAAAGAAAAAGCAACTTTTGGTAAGTTTTTAAGAAGACAATTCAAATGTAGTCATAGAATTTTATTTTTTATTTATTTATATATATTTTTAAAGATTTTGTTTATTTATTTGACAGAGAGAGACACAGTGAGAGAGGGAACACAAGCAGGGGGAGTGGGAAAGGGAGAAGCAGGCTTCCTGCGGAGTAGGGAGCCTGATGGGGGCTCAATCCCGGGGCCCTGGGATCATGACCTGAGCTGAAGGCAGACGCTTAATGACTGAGCCACCCAGGCACCCCAGTCATGGAATTTTAAAGCAGGAGGGCACTTTAAAGATTATATAGTCCCTTTTCTTTGTTTTATAGGTGATAAGGTTAAATAACTTTTCCAAAGTCACACATCTCATTCATTTAGAACTTGGATATAGGTAAGAAACTGCTAGCTTCTCCACTCAAGGTCATATGAGTGTGCTAGACAAAACAGGTATTGAATTTAAAAACATCTAACTCTTTTTCTTGGAGTCATAAAGAGAAGACATTAATCTCTTGCAGTGTAACACAGCCTCTATAGATGGCTGAGAGGAACCACATTATCTTACCTCAGATAGCAAGTGAGAGGACTTTCTCTCCATCCCTGGCAAGGTCTTCTCCAACCATTTATAAATACAAGGCAATCATAAGTCATTGTTATTAAGAAGGTAATTACTGGTTTAAATGTAAATGTATATAGATCAACTTTCCCAAGTTTTTGGAGAGAATTAGTGTGGATCAAAGTGCCTAACCTATAGTTAATGCTAGATTTAGTCATTATGAGAAGTCCACCACTGGGTTTCATTAGCTCACCATAAGACCAAAATATAAGGCTTTCTAATTAAACTTGTGAGGCTAGAGGTAGTAAATCCAGAACAATGTATCAATAGAAGCTTCTGAAGAGTCATAAAGTAGGAAAGAAGGAATGGTTGTGTATTATTCTTTGTAAATATTTAAGAATTACCCATCATTCCTATTATAGGTCTGTGGTCCCTCTTATGCCTTCTCCCAAATATGATTATGATGTCATTGACCTACTACCACAGGACATTTGCATTTTGAGTTGCTTCTGGTGAGCAGTGCAGTGTGTGACTAGAACAGAAAGCCCCTCATGTAAACAACTAGGGCACGTAAGCAAGATGGCTGTCTGGGGTCAGGGTATGGTCTATGGCCATGAAATGGAGCAAAGCCAATTAGGCTGTATGCGGATCAAGCCTGTGACCTTGACCTCATTAGCACCGTGCTCTGCCCAGCTCAACTAACTGGCCCCAGATGGTTAAGCTTAATGCAGCATTTTGTGTACAAGTACCCTAGAGCACATTCAGGCAATCCAAATTTTTGAACTGAGCACTTTTTATGTCTGACTCCTAAGTAAATGACATACAAAAGAGTTTGATGTTTTTCTTCTTTCTTATGGTTAAAGAAGAATGGAGAATTTTATTCTAGACCCTTGAAACTCAATACTCTTCTGGGCTGCTCCCTCTCCTCCTCTTCAATTATGAGAGTAGTTGTAAAGTGCCATATCCTGACCTCGCTTGCTTTGGCAAGTTTAACAAGCCATTGTGGTAGAAACAAGGTATTGCCCAGAGGCCACTAGAATTCATTTGGTATTTGCTCCAGATTCCACAGGGTCCTCCTTCTGACACACATGTTGACAGCCTGAGAACTTGCAGAAATTTTTCTACAGTTTTATGCATTAAAAAACCCTCAGCTTTGTTGGCCCTTTGTTTGGGGACTGGTAGCCTCTTCCTTTTTTCTTCTTTTTTTAGGGATTACTTTTAAATAGACTCAATCAATCACAAAATATTTCATTATCACCTACAATCAACTGTGATAAGCTACTTGAGTAATAAAAGCATTAAGTTATTCAAGTATGTTAAGTGTAAGTATTTTCAAGAATGTTATAGTCTGATAGGAAATGTATGTGTGGATACATACACATTATCTATCTGCTTATCTATCTAATCACATTATATATTAATAATAGAAATCAGGGTATGGTATGAACTCTTGGAGTGTATGAGTCATCAAATAGGTCAATCTAAGTTAAGAAATGGTGCTATTTCAGCAATGAGTCCTCAGCGTATTTTATAGTAATAATTTCCAAAGTGTAAAAAAAGCAGCCAATTTGGGAATTAGAGGAATTGGACTTTGGTGTGTTTAGCGTTCTTCATAAGAGGAGACTCTCTAAGCTTTTATTCCTGCTACTTCTCCCCCTCTGACTGTTGAGCTTACTGCCTATTCCCCTTTATAGGAGGATGTTTCCTGCCATGAGAGTGAAAATCACTGGCCTGGACCCACACCAGCAGTATTACATAGCAATGGACATTGTGCCTGTGGACAATAAAAGATACAGGTAATGATGACTCTGGGGTGTGGAATTGTGGACATCACCAGCATTCCAAGACAGTTCTTTAAATCATTAGATGAAGCATTTTCACAGTGCACTGTACAATGCACTATAGGGAACAAGAATGGAGGATATGCCAATAACCTGTAGCAAAGCACCATGCAGGAAGTAGTCACTCGTGGTTGGAAATCAGGACTTAGTAATGATTTTGTCTGGAATCCTCCCTGTGTCTCTGGAGAGAGCGGGACTGTATAGTGTCTGCCAGGGTTACAAAAATCAAATGAATATTAAGTCTAAAATTAATTCAGTTAACATTGAAAGTGATTAACATATTGAATGATTTGGTTTATGAAATACTAAATGAGTTGAGATGATTTATTTTGGAGAGGTGGAGGAGAAGTGGACCAGTGCAGTATATTCAATCATATGTCTGATGGATTATCCTGTGGATGATGGAGGGGAAGAAGAGGAGAATTGGGTAAGATTTCAAGAACAACATTTAGTAAAGGAGAATTATTGTTTATCAATATGGGTTGTGAGCGAGTTTGTTAAGTAACTTTCCTTCAAAGTCATTACAGTCCAACACGATGTCTTTGTTTCTTGGATGGCTTACACATAGTTCTTGCCAGACACAAACTGTGCCTTAATCAATCTCTTGAGATGTCAATCAGGTCAGTGAATCATGGCTCATTTTTGAAATGTTTGAGAACTTGGCTCCAAACCTATGAAGTAGGAGGGGAGAGATGAATGAATAGGAAAGACCAGCCTAGTATGGTAGAGGGAGAGAGCTGCCCAAGAGAGAAGTTATCTGGATGCAGGACTTAGCACAGGAGATGTTTCCAATCTGTTTTAGAGGATCTTGTGATTTGGACTGAGTGCCTCTGTTTGCTAGCATCCAGGTCCTGTGTGGTCCTTTATAAGTGAGAAGCAGGGAGGTGCCAAATCTGTAGAGAACTCTCTTCAGAAGTACAGGGCAATTGGCAAACTGGAAAACTGACCTCCTTTGCTACTGAACAACATCTCACTTCCAGTGCCTTTGTGGGTAAATAATATGGATGATGATGATATTCAAAACTGGATTCATCAAAGAAACACTAAAACACTAACTGGGAAGACTTGGTGGTGTTTCTGGGAATGGTTGCACTGAGGCAAAAACCCTCCATTTTCATAGAAATGCCTCAAAATTCAGATTCTCAGCAAAGAAATGGTTAATAAGTAAGAGGCTTGGAGGGTCTCTGCACATGGCTGTGTTTTATAGGACAATATGGAAGATGTTTTTAATAAGGAACCAAATCCTGAACAAGTGGCCAACGGATTATATGGTTTGAATTTGAAAGGTGAAAGGTTGCAGTAAAATACCTTTTCCATAGCTAGACACATGGGCTCAGGATGCCTGTGTGCACACAGGGGTGGAAGGCAAGGAGAGGGAAAAGAAAGAAAAAGGACTGTGAGAATGTTTTCCTTGTGAGGGCTGTAGCTTTGATCATTAACCACAACCCTTTGCTGCCCTCCCCCAACCCACCTCTTTCTCCATTTTCATCTCTATCTGATTGTCCCTGGTTCTCTACCCTACTCCTTTTCTCTGTTGTATTCTCTGTTTAATCCCTACTATTTTCCATCTTGTCATCTCTCTGTCTCTCCCGTCTCCTGTCTCTACTGGCTTTCTTGGGCCTCTCTTCCCTCTCTGTATCTGTCTCTGATTTCGCCTCTCTCCCTCTCCACCTCAGATATGTGTACCACAGCTCCAAGTGGATGGTGGCTGGCAACGCGGACTCCCCTGTGCCCCCAAGAGTTTATATACACCCTGATTCTCTAGCTTCTGGAGATACTTGGATGAGACAGGTGGTCAGTTTCGACAAACTCAAGCTGACCAACAATGAGTTGGATGATCAAGGACATGTGAGTCAAAGAATCCCATCCATCTCCCTCTTCCTCCCTTTTGGCTCTAGAGCTGATTAGCCCTAGGCTTTTTCAAACAGGTAAAATAAGAAGCTCTATGCCATTTGGCGTCATTTTAAGTAACTAGGCATACAAGTTCCTTTTTTTCTTCCCATGAAATTTCATTTATTACAAATCTAACATTTAGCAAACGTCTCCTGTGCATCAGATTGTGTTTATCAGACAAGAGTTCTCATGTTCTGGGAACCCACAGTCTAGTCAGGGGTTAGTTTGAAGACAGAAACACAGGACAAGTTTAAAAATGGTGAAAGAAGTCACAAAAGTCAGTGGAATAACTCACAGGGCAATAAACTCAGAGAAACAATTAAGTGACAGTTTGGGCTGATTTGTTGAGAAATTCATGCATTTTTAAGAGAAGAATAGGTTTTAAGACTTTCCAGGTATAATTAGAGCACTTGATGTTATTAATTTATCTTTAGTGGCAAGACATACATAGAACTTTCACTGAATGCGAGGGTCCAGATTGGGTGCTATAGGAAGATTAAAGAACTAAAACCATGGGTCTTATCTTTAAGGGAATGACATTTTTCGAAGGAAGGGAGAATGCACATATACATTCACTCTCATAGTGAGTGGTCATAAATTTGGTAACAAAGTGCAAATGACAGCTTATAGAATTTAAAGACAGCATGAGCCCGTGATGAAACTTTGAAGCAGGAGGGAGCAACTGTCCCATAGCAGAGGTTCTGAGACATTTCAGCGGAGTGTTGTTTTCTGGTGTTGGGACAGTTGTTCAGTATTGTTCAGTTAAGGCAAGCATACTGCATCCACCACCCATGATTGGGATACTCTGCTGTATGGGTCCATGTAATGCTATCCAGTCACTTAGTCCTTCCTGCCATAGGCAAGTACACTGGCTTCCAGTTTCTTATACATCTCCCCCAACCCAACCCCCATCTGTGTTTTTCCTATAATGCTTCTATCCTGTGGTTATATTTGCATGAGAGCTTGAAAAGATGTAAGGACCTTTGAGCCACTCTGGCATAATGTGGCCCCTTCTCATTTCAGATCATTCTGCACTCTATGCACAAATACCAGCCTCGAGTTCACGTGATCCGCAAGGATTTCAGCAGTGACCTTTCGCCCACCAAACCTGTCCCTGTTGGGGATGGAGTGAAAACATTCAACTTCCCTGAGACTGTGTTTACCACAGTCACAGCCTACCAGAACCAGCAGGTAAGAGGCTGCCTTTGAGAGGCTCCTGCTGTATATGCTGTTCAAGGAGCTTATTCATGCCTTTGGTAAGAAATACTTAGTCCTTCTACATGACACCAAAGAACTGGAATGAGAGATGCCAGGCTTGCTGTGCAAACACCATGTTGGTGATGACAAGGCCGTGATGCCTAGTAGCAGCTGGTATAATCTAGATTTAGATCAAAGACAAAATCTTTGACCAGGAGGACCGAATCTCCTAGGTCATTTTCATGTCTCTCTGTACTTGTACCCGTGTTCATGGTCTCTCCTGCATCTTGGCAAATGTTCCTCATCATTTGCAATTCCTTTGCAAGTACCAAGGTTTGATTCATTCCTTCCCTCTTCTCTGCAATTTTCCGTGTATCCCTGCAGCGGCTACATCAAAGTCATCAAGCCTCTCAAACCCCGTTGAAGACCCACTGCTTCCATTTACACTATCAGACTAAATTTACCTCTGTGTGATCACCAGCCACACCCTAACATCTGTGTTTTTATGTCAGCAATATGTTCATTTATTCCATAAATGTTTGAGATCTTGAGAACTTACAATAGTCTAAGCTTAGTAGAGAAATTGAGCAGATTAGGACTTATTTCTCCATAAGCAAAGAAGAGTTTTAGGCGAGTGAAAGACATGTAAATACATAATGATAAAGCAGTGAAATAATTTAATGACAGAGATGTGGACAGGGTGTTCTTGCGTCTGGGGAATGAGGGAAGTTTTCCTGGAGGAGCTAATGCTTTCTCTGATGATGAGACACACATAAGAATTGGCCAGATTGGGGCACCTGGGTGGCTCAGTCAGTTAAGCATCTGCCTTCGGCTCAGGTCGTGATCTCGGGGTCCTGGGATCAAGCCCCACGTTGGGCTCCCTGCTCAGTGGGGAGTCTGCTTCTTCCTCTGCCCACCTCTGCTTGTGTGCGCATGCTCTCTCTCTCTCTCTCAAAAAATAGTCTTTAAAAAAAAAAAGAATTGGCCAGACTAATGGGGGAAGTATGGCAGGGGAGTGTTGTATGGGGAGAGGGAGAGAGACGCCAAGTCTGGAACTGTGGGCATTCTAGACAATGTTCTTTTTTTGAGGAGGGTGAGTAGATGGATTTATAAGTGATCTCACTTTATGCAATTCCCTGAAAATTGCATGAGAGTCTCATTTTTTGCAAATTAGACTGTATTTCATCTTTTGACAATTTGTTTAATTAATAGGATCCTGAGGTGAATCCTTTTCTGAAAATAAGAGTTTCTGCTTGTTTATTTTGCTTGAAAGTCTGTGTACTTTTATTTTGGACCTGCTTGGAGCAAAATGAACTTATACCACAATACTCAATACCTTTTGTGTTGGATGCTATGCTTAGTGCTCTGACAAAGAAAGAAATAGAGGAAAAATACTCATTTATTAAGTATTTATTGAGTGCTTACTATGTGCCAGGCAAGTGAAGGTGAGTGATATAATCTTTGGTTTATATAGAAAGAGTATTTTGGTCTTAGTGCATTTGCCTAAGACTCCTTAGATATTCTTTGCCTACAGAGGAATTTGATATACAACAACCCTTCAGTCTGGTAGACAAGTACTAAACGCTTGTTGGGCTTTCTCAGCAGCTGTAAAGCATTCCCAACTTCAGATTTTCCTTGTGGTTGCCACATTTGATCTATAGTAGAGGAAGAGTTTTAGTTTGCTTTGGATGTTATTAAAAAACTCTTGAACCCTTTCAAACTCCTTAGGTAGTAAACAGAAGCCATGGAGGGTCCTTACAGGAATCTTTAATATCAAGATTTTTCAAGCTCTGAAACAAGATAGTGCAGCAATATAGATAATGCCCTTTGGAGTGATTGGAACCTTGGGATTAATTGTGGTTCAGGAGAGGAGGGGAGCACAAGTCTAAATTCTTTGAATAACTGATGGGACTTTTTCCCAAGACAGCCAGCCACCATTTTAATCATTAGTTTCTCATGAAGGCAGAGATGTGGCAACAAATATTACAACTTTAGAATTTAGCTTGTTGGGCAAACCAGAGCACTGGTGAATGAATATTCTGCTGCCTCACCGTGATCAGTTATAGAGGCCATGAGGATCAGTACTGTCACCCAAGCTGAAATTAAAAAGCCACAACTCACCGTGACAGTGTCAATGAAAGAAGACCAAACATGGCTGCCTGCAATCCCTCTCACTTCTACCTTCTCTCACAGCATTCCTGTGTCTGAGGACATTCTACTCATATGAATATTTTGTCTTCATCTGGACTGGGGTGGGAGCAGTGGTGGTTTGTTGGGGGTGGGGCACCATGATTAAGGTCATGGGATTTGGTAGCAGCCATACCTCGTTTGATTTCTGACCTTTCCACGGTTGGATGGTATGACCTTGAGCAAGTTTCTTAACTCCCTTCATCAGTATTTCCTGGCCTGAAAATGTCCTGGCCTCATCGAATTAGTGATGAGGACTAGATGAGGGAACACGCGTAAAGCCACTAGTAGAAGCCTACATTGGTCAACGGCTGGGGCTGCACAAGCATGAAGGGGAGTGGGGAGTAGAGGCAATTATACAGCATAAATTGCTTATTAAGGAGAAAGTGGATCGTTGGGAATTAGAGGACCTGCATTGGCTCTTGAAGGTGTTCTAACCAATAGGTAACCAGTTTGATCTTTCTGTTGTAATGTCATGTTGGTGAATTCATGATGTGCTGACATTCAAAATAGATGAGTCACGCACACTCACTTCTGCCCGATTTGAAATGAAGGTAACAGCTTTTGCCCGTTTAACAAGGCTTCATTCCCCAGATACATCAACAAACACAATTATTTAACATTCTTTTTGGCTGTGTAGATATGATTTCATATAACACAGTGTCTTCTAGTAAAGCAAACTAACCTCGGGTCTTTCCCCCAGGAATCTGGAGGTCTGCATCCTGTTACCTAGCAATCATTTTCACACTTGTCGCAGAGATGCCGGGTAGCATAAACCATTCTCTTCTGTGAGCTAGATCACCTACTACTGTGTTTTTATTTTCCTCAACTGTCTTGAATGAGAAAGATTACTATTTTATGACAAAATTATTTACTTCATGTATTTCTTTTTAAAGGAATGGCTAGGAGGCATGAGAGAGTAAAGAGGAAAAGTCAGTGGAGGGGGGGAGTCCTCATTGTTCTCAGGAACACAATGAAGGAAGGACAGTGTGAGGAATGGAATTGAAGTGAAATGTTATCCAGTCTTCCTAAGGAAAGGCAGTGGGCTAGTAGATTGGAGACCTGGGTTTTCATCCTAAATGAACTACTAGCTACCTATGTCATTCTGAGCAAGGTATTTTCTTCTGGGGTTTTGATTTCTTCTTCAAGAAAATGACCAGTTGGCCTCTGTTTTCTAAGTTCTCTATTAGCTCTGAAATCATAATTTCTCCCTCTTTTTTTTCTGCATGTTTTTAGTTGAGGGTGGGGAACAATTTATTGTTTTCAAGCAGAGGCAGTCAACACACACAAGTATTGAAAATTATTCGAATGTTCATGTGTGTCAACTCTTTTTTAACCCCCACAACAGGTGAGACCAATAGAGTTGTAGCAAGTCCGCACTTGAAAGGTGGGAAGGGTGTTTTGTTGCTCGTAAACAAAATATTCCAAGGTATACTATGCCTTTGTCACCCCTGCCAGTCCTCTCCATTGTTAAAGCCTGTATTTCCTGTTGGCTTCCATCTTGCCACTGAGGCTGATGGGACACCTGACTCTCCACACATCCAGTCTGCCACTAAACTATGTTGCTTCTACTGATGGAATATTTTCTTCTTTCTCATCTTACTGCTTCTACACTTGTTCTGGACCTGCCCTCCTTCCACCTTAGGCTGTTGTGACAGCTTCCAGCCGAGTCACCTGGACTGCATGGTTAATGTCTCATGAGCCATCACATATATTCACTGAGGGATGGGTCTTCCTAAAACATAGCTCAGATTGCGTCATTTCTCTGTCAAAAACTGTTGACTCCTCAGTGCCAGAAGGGAGTGTATATAGTCCGAGATCCCAAGTCTTTCCATTAAGGTCCTCTGTAGCTAGTTACCAGCTACATTTCTAGGCTCATTTCCCACTAATCATCATCATGCATCCACAGGAGTTCAGCAATCTAGTTGGAGTTTTACTGTTGCTTGCACTTGGTAGCAGCTTTGCTTTTGCTTGTGCTGTTGTCTTTCCAGGAATGACCTTTATCTGTCTAGCTTCCTTCTACTCTTCGAACATTTTCCCCTACAACGTTCCTTACATTTTTCGGCTTCGAATGAGCTTTCCCCCATCGCACTGTTAGTGCACCGTACCTCTCTCATGACCCTGTCACATTCTAAGCTGTGCGTGTGACCAGTCTTCCTCTCAATATTTTGAGCTTTGAGAACCAAACATCGTGCCTCTACAAAACCTGGTGTAGAAAACAGCAGGTCGGGAGTTAGGGGACTCAGGTTCTAGACTCAACTCTGCAGCTGACAGACTCTACTGCTTCTGACAAATTGCTTCACCTCCGAATCCTCATTTGCAAATCGGTGGTTTGCTTCTCAGCTACCAGTCTGTGGAGACGTTTTTTATAGTCCACCGAAAGATGAGAAAAATAAAGGCAGGATAGGGGCAGTTTATACCTGTAAACGTTCATTTAAATAGGCTGTATTTTATTTTGTCCTTTTAACCTTTTTTGATACTAGAATGTCACTTAATTTATGAAATAATGATGGCAGGAGATCGTGGATTGATGTAATTCTTTTAGTTTGACAGAATAAATATGGAATATCAATGTTGACCCCCTAAATGTTGGAGGGAGAGAATTAGAATTGTCCTGAAGCCCAGAAACCACTAATTAAGAAGAAGGACCCTTCCATCTGCGTAACTCTAAGGCATTTGTGTCTGTCCGGTGGTGCACAGCACTGAATATGTGCTTGGAAAAGGACTGAATGAATAATTAGCCAACACACCTCCACTACCAGTTTCCTTACATAGCTGTGGTCCTGCTTTTTTGGGTATAAGTAGTC